TATTGGTAAGACTGCAGTAAGAGTACTGCATCCAGCTCTGGGTACTGCACTTCGAGGGATGTGGACAACCTCAAGAGGATGCAGAGGAGGGCTACCCATGTGGTTAAGGGCCTGCAGGTAAGATCTTATGAGGAGAGATTGAGGGACCTGAATCTCTTCAGCATCAGCAAAAGAAGGCTGAGAGGTGATCTTGTGGCCATCTACAAATTCATCGGGGATGGGGGGACGGAGAACAGCAAGAAATAGGGGACGCTCTGTTTACCAAGGCACCCCTTGGGATTACTAGGAACAACAGCCATAAACTGAAGGAGAGCAGACTTAGATTAGACATTAGGAAAAAATTCTTTACAGTGAGGGTTGCCAAATGCTGGAATGAGCTTCCATGGGAGGTGGTTCTCTCCCCTATCTTGGAGATTTTTAAGAGGAGTCTAGACAAGCACCTAGCAGGGGTCATCTAACCTCAGTGCTCCTTCCTGCCTAGGGCAGGGGGTCAGACTCGATGATCTACTAAGGACCCTAAAAAAATCTATGAATCTAATCTATGAATCTATGAAAGTGTGTGTGTCTGTGTGTCTGCTGTGGAGGAATCGAAGCCATCTGAGACCCTAAGACCGTATACGTATTGTGTCTTCATTACAATATGGGATTGCCACGCTGCTATTCTCTGATGCCCAAGAGTTACCAGAGATATACAAAGATGCTCATCTCCCAGATTGACTCTCTCAGCCCACACACACTGACAGGAAAGCTGCAAAGCTGATACCACTACATAATACGGTACATGCCACAAGTCATGTTTCATTTCAACATTCATAATGCATATTCCAGTTCACTAGTCAAATATGTTGCTGGAGCCCAGAAATTTTCCATCTTGTCAGAACTTACTGTGATTCAGTATCTACAGACTGACTTAGTGGCCCATTGCAATGACAGTGGGAAGATTTTGATTTTTATCCATCTCCAAATGGATGGTGAGATTATATACGCTCTAACTAATGCACAGGAATGTTAGGGATATTTCTTTTTCCCACTTCAGCTGGTCAGGGATGGGAAAGCTTTATTTCATTTTAGTATGAATAATAAAAGTATCAGACTTTGTTACATAGCAAATAAAACAATGCAAGTATCAAACACCTCCACACATACTGCCCAAGTAATGAGTAAATATATGTAAAATGGAATGGCTAATTTAATAATGATGGAAAAGCTATTTTAAGATAATAAGAAATGAAGTAATGAAGTGAAAATATCAGGGAAATACCAGGGTTGTAGAGTTCTGTAATTACATTTTCACCTGCTGCTTTCTATTTTGCTAGTATACGTAGCAGGTGTGGTTTGCCCGTGTAATAAGGCATCTACTAGCCTGTACAGCACCATATGAATCCATTCTACTGCAATAATTTTATCTTCCACTTCCCATACCTGAAATTCTGTATCAAGAAAAATTGCCAGGCAATGAACAATTTAATTCCTAGGACCCAAATTCATAGGTGCATACATTTGTTTGCATGTCAATACTTGGGCATGATTAAGGGACTGAGCCTACAATCAGAGAGATTAGAGGCACTTTTCTTTTTTTTTGGTGGCAGGGGAAAGGCGCAATCTACAACATTGCACCCTTGAAAACAGCAAGGGGGAACAGCAAGAAAGAGAAAACCCTACTCAGATGCTGACTCCAGCTGCAGGGTAGAAAGTAGGAGCTAATAGCCAGCCATGAGCAAGTGGCTGAAGAGCAGAAAGAATGGAAATAGCCCTGGCTCTGCCTTCCCACAATCTGCACACCAGAATACTTGGCCAGGAGCAATCTGTGCCAGTAAAGGCAGTGGGGTAATTTCTTCTTCACTCAGAAAAAGTGGGGAGCAGGAAAGCAACTGCCATAGATAATTTTCTGGACTGCTCCCTTGACAGCTGTATTGACCCCTCTTAATCAGAGCAGACTGTAATATTGCCGTCCGGTCCAAGATGAACAAGACACAGGAATTCCGTACTGGAATATGAAACCCATATTTCCTTACGGAAATACATGTTTGTTATTTTTGTGACAAAAATGGAAGGATTGAGGAAACAAATAGAAAACTGAGTACGGATGTGGCTAGTAGTTGAAGGCAGTGGATCAAGGAGTTGCAGCTTTGTGTCCTCCAACTTGGGTACATATTTTTCTAGAGACCTTCTCATGGGCCTACTCTGTATTCTCCTGGCACACACCCTGGTTGAGACCATTTAGTTAATTCAATGTTCCAACAATTATTGACGCTTGCCTCCTCCCACCTACTTTATAAAATTAAAATCTCATCATACAGCTCCCCCAAAAATGATACTTAATTATGAGAGGTAATTGATTCAATACAGTTATTCTTACTGCTTAAAACACCCTAACACATGCATAATGCAATAATTAAACTACAAATAAATAATTATTCCAGCAGAAGAGAGGAGGGAGAAATGTTAGATACACATTTTGTTTTCCTCTAGCAGGATGACAGAACTGCCACATTACAGGAGATTTGTTTTACTTTCTAGTGATTATAGGATGTGTCACTGTAATACAGATGACACACTTAGCTAGCCATCTTTACAAATTAGGATAACACAGTGAGTTGGTTGAACAGACCTAAGTATAGAAAGAGATGTTGATATTTTACTTGGAGGAGTTTGTGGCTGATAATAAATTGATCAGAATGTGGATAAACTATAAAACTAATAGACTCTGGATTTTCAGAGCTCTTAATTATATAGGTGGATGATTCCATCTTGAATCACTTTATTTGTAACATCTGATGAGCTACACCCAACGTGCCAAGTGATCAGCAGTTCTTACAGGTAAACAATATTTTTAAAGGTTCTTCACCTGGACTAGAAAAGTGCAAATGGGTACATCTCTACTGTGCTACAATAATTAATGCTAGTAGCGACAGACTCATCCAGCCCCGTGGGCTGGATGAATGGTGTAGCACCAGTCTGTGGGCCCATTCTAGCATGCAGTGTTGCCATGGGCTCATATGCAGTGTGTATGGTCATCACACAGACCCAAGGCCACATATAGTTGGGGATACTTAGTGGCAGGAAGAGCTGTGGCAGTGTTAATTGCCACCACCCAATTTCTGGACCTCTGAGGAACCCCACAGACCCGATGACACAGCCCTGCGAGCCACATTTAATCTGTGGACCATATCTTGGGAGCTCCTTATACCAGCTTAGTAGGTAAGGATCCAAACCAATATGAGAGCCCTTGTAAACAAAACAGGTTAAAACAAAACAAGTTTGCTGGAGACTGCACGTGAGAAAGGAACAGTGGGAAAAACCCTGGTCATCCCCAGTTCACTCTCCCTTTCAGCATTCATGATCTGACACTGTGACAAAGGAGACTGGGCGAGATCCATCCAGTGGTGACACATAGGGGGTGCACAGGGGCACATGTTCACCCCCTGAGAGTGCTGGCTGGGGAGTGGGGGTACCAGATGTGCCACTGGCACTTACGGGCACGCCCCTGGCACTTGTGGGTTGGTGTGATTGGCAATGGGGGACCTTCCTCCCCTGGTTGCTGACTGGCTGCTGGGGGGCAAGTGCCCCCCCAACTCAGGAAGCACCAGTCACCCATGGATCCATCTGTGGTCTGACCCAGTAAATGGCAGTCCTTGTATTTTTGGCTAACATGTATTTGACATGAACAATTATTACACCAACTCTGTCTGACCAAACTCTTCATCTATGTTTGAGCCCAGGGCTATAGTAGCCTCTGCAAATAACACAGGACACAAGGGACACTTTTAAGAGGTAGCAAGCAGCTAATTTCCCCTACCTTCCCCCTCCTTCATTCCACAGGGGTTAATTATGCATCTATTTAGATAACTAAGCCACAGCAGTTTTCATAGTTAGTATGAGCCAATCATCAAGTCCACCCCCCTGCCTTGGCAGGAAAGATTACTGGGGTCAAACGACCCCAGCAAGGTAATTGTCAAGCCTTGTCTTAAAGACCCCAGGGTAGGAGCCAGCACCACTTCACTTGGAAGTTGGTTCCAGATCCTAGCCACCCTGACAGTGAAGTAGCGTCTCCTGATGTCTAATCTGAACTTACCCTCTGCCAGTTATTTCTAGTCACTCCTGGTAGTGCTCAGGGGAACAGGGACACCCCCAATGCCTGCTGGTCCCCTCTGGCCAGCTTATAACAGGCAATGTCTCTCCTAGAGAGCCTGGTCCAAAGGACATCACTGTATTCAGCATCTTTCCACTGACTTAAATGGATTTGGATTATGCTCCCAATAATCACCCCTTTTCTGGCACTTCACAGGATTGAATCTTTATGTGTTTTAAAAGAACAGTTAGAATGCAGATAACACACAGTTTCTGTTTCTAATTGTTAATTATCACTGCATTATAGATATTATGTTTTTCTTCTGGTCTGCTGATGCCGTTAAATCTATCAAATCTTTCTATAGCTAATTATGCATACGTGTTTCAGTCTGGTTATCACACATATCTCTGTAATTGAAAAGCATCAGTGGTAATGTTCTAGAAAGACAGAATACCCCGTTGTTCATTACTTTATAACCAGGGCTGGTAGTGCTGCCTGTTATTAAGATTGCCTGACTCTTCCCATTTATAAGACCCGGATTTGATTTGCATATACCTTAGCTATAGTTTAACTCCATGGGATGACATGCTAACATGACAGGTGTCTAGTTCAGCTTGAACATTTCTGGGTTCCATGGAAAAAATTGTGTGTGTGTGTGTGTGTGTGTGCGCGCGCGCGCGCGTGTGTGTGTGTGTGTGCGCACGTGTGTGTGTGAGAGAGATGGTAAAATATTCAAGATGGTAAAACCCAAACCACCATATAAGAAACCCATGGACCAACATACATATCTAAACTGAACCAACAATCACCCTACACACACCAAGAAAGCTGTAATTTACAGCCAAGCTGTCCAATACCACCAAATTTGCAGCAAAGAGAATACCCGCAATTGCTACCTCACAAATCTCAGAAGGGTCTTCAGTCAACAAGGATCTCACTTTTGAAAGTGCCACCCGGATACCACTTGAAGATTTGCAACAGTACAAAAAGAAAATCCCCACAAATCGCACACTATAAGTTGTGACATATCTCCCTTCCCCAGAACCTACATGCGAAATCCTCAAACAATTGCAACCCATCCTAGAAGAAGACCCCGCTTTTAAAGAAATTGATAGATTCATAGATTGTAAGGCTGGAAGGGACCTCAGAAGATCATCAGGTCCAGCCCCCTGCACCAAACAGGAAAGGTAACTGGGGGTCAGTTGAACCCAGCAAAGTGACTGTCTAGTCTCCTCTTGAGGATTTCCAGTAGGTGATTGCATCACCCCTGGAGCTTATTGCACAGTCTGGACACCCTGACTGTGAAAAATTTTCCTAACGTTGAGCCTGAATTGATCTTCCAGGAGTCTGTGGCCATTGCTGCTAGTTTTCCCTTAGGTGCCCAGTTGCTCACCAAGCCCTTGATGTACGCCCCTGTTGTAGCAGTAAGCTGCTACTAGGTCCCCTCTCAGCCTTCTTTTCCTCCACCTGAAGAGTCCCAGATCCCTCAGCCTTTCCTCATATGGCTTGCCTTTAAAGACTCTGATCATACGTGTGGGTCCTCTTCGGACTCTCTCAAGCTTGTCCTCATCCTTGTTGAAGTGCGGTGCCCAGAACTGGACACAGTACTCCAGCTGCAGTCTGACCAGTGCTGAGTAGAGCAGAAGAATCACTTCCTTGGTTTTCCTGGAGATGCACTGATTGATGAATGACAGAGTATGATTTGCCCAACTGGCTACAGCATCGCACTGCTGGCTCATATTCATACTATGGTCTAGTATTACCCTCGGGTCCCTTTCATTCGTGGTGCTAGACAATTTGGTGCTGCCAAGCCTGTAGGTGTGTTGGGGGTTGCTTGTCCCAAAGTGGAGCACTTCACATTTCTTAACATTGAACTGCATCAGGTTCCTATCCACCCAACTTGCCAGGCTGTGTACATCTGCCTGTATCTTTACCCTTTGTTCAAGTGTAACCACGCTTTCCCATAACTTGGTGTCATCCATGAACTTGACCCCCACATCCAAATCATTAATAAAGTTGTTGAAAAGTACTGGACCAAGCACTGACCCCTGTGGGACACCACTGCCCACTTCTCACCAGGATGTCACAGATCCATTCACTGTGACTCTCTGGGTCCTATCCTGCAGCCTATTTCTCACCCACCTGACTGTCTTGGAATTAAACCCACAATCCTGCAATTTTCTCACAAGGACATCATTGGACACTAGATCAAAGGCCTTTCGGAAGTCAAGGTATACAATGTCAACATGCTCTCTTGTGCCCAGGTGGCGAGTTACCTGGTCATAGGAGATGAGGTTGGTAAAGCAAGACCTGCCCACAACAAAGCTGTGTTGGCTGTCATTCAGAATTTTACCTTCTGCAAGCTTATCACAGATAGACTCCTTGATGAATTTTCCTAGGATTTTCCCTAGAATGGAAGTTAGGTTGATTGGCCTATAGTTACCCGAGTCCTCCCTCCTGCTCTTCTTGTGGATGGGCACAACAATGTCCTTCTTCCAGTCCTCAGAGACTTCTCTGGAGTGCCATGAGTTATAGAAGAGTTTTTCCAGTGGTTCTGCAATGACTTTGGCCAGCTCCTTCAGAACACTCACATGAAGATCATCCGGTCCCACTGACTTGTATATGTCTAATTTTTTTAAATCGCTCATACACCAATTCTACAGCAATAGTAGGAAGGTGATTATTCCTACTATGCTCATCCTGTACTCTACTTGGCATGGTTTTCCCCTTGGACCCATGAAAGACCAACATGAAGTAGTCATTTAGGAGTTCAGCTTTCTCCTGGGTGCCAGTAATCAGCTCTCCTGAGTTGCTGAGCAAGGGCCCCACACTGCCATTTGTCTTCCTCCTGTTCCCATTTGTTTTCCTCCTGTTCCCTATGTACTTAAAGAAGGACTTCTTGTTGTCCTTGATTCCCATTAATTAACCCAGAGGGTTTCAAGCTGTTCATTTTTTGAGCCAATGTCGGCCTCCAAGGAGGTATACTGCTCTTCCACATAGAGAGCAACATCACCACCTTTCTTCCCCACCCAGTCATTTCTATGCAGAGTGTAGCCCTCTATAGCTATGTTCCAATAGTGTGAGGAGTCCCACCAGGTCTCAGCAATCCTACTAGATCATAATTCCCACTGGAGAGTAGGAAGGCTAGCTCCTCCTGCTTGTTCCCCATGCTCCTGGCATTAGTATCTAGGCACCTGAGTCCTCCTACTGAGGCCCTCATCTTCCTCTCCTGCTGATGGAGAGCTATTTCTTTAGCTTCCACAAGACTGGCTCTCCCAGTGTCCCTAGCTACAGGGCTTACTTGTATGTTGGTCCCTGGACATATTTGAATTTATGTATCCCCATCCCCCAGTAATCTTAGTTTAAAGCCGTATCCAGAAGATCGACCATCCTGGCTGTGAGCAGGGACTTACCTTTCCTCATGAGGTGGATGCTTTCCCTTCCCAGGAGTTCTCTCTCCCTGAACATCTTTCCAGAACCACCCGTCCTAGCCTTTAAACACACACCAAACCTTATTAAACTCATCACCAGAAGCAAACTTCCTATGACCCAAAACATACCAAATGGAGCCAGACCATGCCCAGACAAGAAATGCAAAACCTGCTAACGCATCTCCACAACCCCCATTATAACTGCATCCCACAACAGAGCCATCACCATTCCTGGATCTTTTACCTGAACCTCCAGAATTGTTATATATCTCATCCAGAGCACCAAATGCCCTGATGGAAAATATGTAGGAGAAACCAGACAACAACTACACACCAGAATGAACGCATACTGAAAATCTATCAAGACAAGAATGCCCAGTTACCTGTGGGTGCACACTTCTCATGCACAATTACTCCCTCTCTGTTCTATCAGTTTTAATTGTCAAAGGGAACTTACAAAATACCTTTCATAAATGACCCTATGAACTTCACTTCATAAATCTACTGGATACAAAAAATCATGGACTCAATATAGATATTGGATTTATGATACATTATAACCTGCCTGACATCTCATTTACCAGGTACCTGCCTGACCTGATGTCTTGCATTCTTCTTTTCCGCTACCTTTTATCCCCTTCTCTCCCTTACTTTTCTGCCCCGTGCCTTCAAGATTTCCATATATTTCCTTTCACATTGATGCCTCTTTTTTTACCTTAAATTATTGCCTTTGTATATTTCCCTTTGGCTTTCCCCTCCCTTGCCTTCTTCCCCCTCCCTTCCCTTCTTTACCTTTTGTTTTTCTAATTTCTACCTGTTTATATTTTCACTGACATTCTGTCTCATGTTTTTTCACAGACAGCCTCTTTTCTACCTTGTATTCTATCACTGTAATGTCTCCCTTTTCTTTCCCCTGCCTTCTTCACCCTCCCTTCTCTGCTTTACCTTTTGTCTTTCTAATTTCTACCTATTTACATTCTGACTGACATCCTGCCACACTTTTAGCTTCTCTCATTCCTTGGAGTCTCAGAACAGCAGAGACTCCCTATGTGTGAAGAAGGGTGACTGCGCCCGAAAGCCTGCTAAGAACTTTGTTCCAACTACTCAGTTGATCTAATAAAAAATATCACATCTACTCAAAGAACCTTGCCTGCCTATGTGTACTATTTAACCCACAGTTTTCTCTCCATTCTTCTCATTCCCTGGGCACAGGTTATGCTCTTTATGTCTCTGGACATTTCCATGTATAGATCTCTCACCCTGCCATGAAGCAAGACTGGCCACAGCCTTCCTCCCTCCCCACCACACCATTCTACAGAGCCTTCCTTGTTGGATATAGAGCTCCCTTAAAGAGGGGAAAAAGACCAAGGGTAGAAATGGGGAGCTGAGGCAGAAAAGCTAACCTGACCTGAGGCTTCATTGCCCTTTCTATCCCTACACTCTATGTAACATCTATAAGTGTTGGTGAAGCCCTCAAATGTCTCAGGTACCACAACTCTAAGAAAACAGGGTGAGGAGATGCAGAGTAGTGGTTTGTTATAGGAGGGCCCACAGCCTTTTCTGCTCCTTTCCTGGTCTTTTCTGCAGTGGTAGATCACCCTGTGAGGAACCTCAGAGAAATTTCTTCCCTTAGAGCCCTCTCTTGGAGCAGTTAATTCAGGATTGGTTGTCCTGGGCATTTGTGTCTCACATCAAATATGAATGAATGCCTCTGTAATCAGCTATGCATCCATAGCTGAAGACGCCTCAGATGAAGAAGAAATGCCTGATAAATGAGTGAATCTGCACTTCTATTTCTGTTAGCTCCATTTAAATAAGTAAAAGGGGGGAATGTCCTTGTATTTATATTCCTGTATCCTTCCCCTGTATTTCATGTATCTTAAAATTAATTGACAGGTTTGTGGCTATTAATTTAGCCAGTCATGATGGCACTGAAGCATTTGTCAGTAATGTTTCAGCTTTGCTAACATCAAAAATGATGGGATTTAATTAAAATGTGGTTGCAAAAAAAAAGACACAAACAATTGCATTTAGAGCTCGGTGGTGGTGAGGAGGAGTGAATTTCCCCCTGTGGAATAAGATTGTTTGTGTAATATTGTTGCAAAATACACCCACCCCAATCACCCATCCCAGGATGAATTTTACTGAGCTTAAGCCTCAAGCACAACTACTGCCAAATTCCTTGGGATTCTGAAAACCTGCTCCTTTTTTTAGGATGCAGCACTCTTGATTCCCCATGACATCTGGTCTACACCAAGATCTGCTTCAAAGAAAGAGCACTCTGTACGGAAATGCTTAGTTAGATACAGCTTACCCCTTCTTTCTTGCTAAACATGTCCAATTCATGCTAATGCTGTCTTGATTTCACAGCAGACAGTACCCTTCTTTATCACTGGACCCCCTGGAAAAACTTCCCAATAAAAATCTATTTTAAATAATCAAGTTCCAGGAAAATGTATTTGTAAATCAGCTTCTTTGCAATCAAGCCCAAATGAGCAAGAAGTTCCAAGGTAAAAAATAGGAAGAAAAAAATACCCGAATCAGCCATGTACTAGACATGAGATTCATTTTCATCTCTTG